ATTGTAAATGTTGTCTTTTCTCCTTCTGGAAAGGAGGTCTCTGCACTGAAAGGAGGGCTCATTTCGATGGCTCCAGATAGGAGCCCTGCCTCCCCACTCAGAATCTATTGTCTGCACTTATTTTCTATATAAGAGGTTTATAAAGGACAGAAAGGAGGTCTCTGCACTGAAAGGAGGGCTCATTTCGATGGCTCCAGATAGGAGCCTTGCCTCCCCACTCAGAATCTATTGTCTGCACTTATTTTCTATATAAGAGGTTTATAAAGGACCTGTAGGTGGGCTTGGAACAAATTGCTCAGAGGTTTTCACTTTTAAATTCAAAGTGTGAATCACAGAGTTGGGGTTTAAGTCTGAATTATAGATAACAAAGGTATTACTGTATATGGACTTTTAAAAACAGAGAAATTATTAGAGAAAATTGAATCTCCTAACTACAAATTTTAGAATATGGGTCTTGAAATCATATTCTTGTAGGAATTCGAAACCAGTTTTCCTGAATTGCCTTCTTCAGCCTTGGCATTTTATACACCTGTACTTCTACTGTTCATATCCGCTAGGATAAAACTGTGGTTATTTTTCTTCTTTACTGCTTTGAATATGAGTCCTCTCTGCAGATTGGGCTGTTGCATACTATTCTTAAGTGAATATGAAACCTCATATTAAGGAAACAATGCACACTGAAGAACTTAAGCTTAACCTTTAAAACTGTGTTGTGAGAGGGGAATGATTTATGTACCTTTCCTTGGCCAGAGTCCCAACGTGTCTGTAAGGTGGTTCCTGTAACCCCATGAATGATGCCTGACATCACAGTGTCTATGTTTCAAATATGTTTCTATTTGAATATATATATATATACCTAAGGCTTAAAAGAAACTGAACAAAAGGTCTGAAAAAGTCAAATGAGTTGTATATTTTTTATTTTGTTGCTGTCAATCGAGTATAATTAGCTGTAAATAAATAATTTTGCAACAGTTTAAATTTAGTAATATAGAAAAGAAGGATATAGTGTAGAATTGAATTGCTAAATCTTACCCTCCACAAGTGCCCTAATTGCCTAACAAAATGCACTTACTGCTGGGGGTTGAGGATAAAGCAGGAAGGAGCCTATAATAAACAAGACATTTCCTTGAAATCATATGCCTTATATTTAGAAATTAATATAAATTTTACCTCTGTGTCATCATTTAGCTATATTTGAAGTGATGTTGAATTAATATGAGGTAATATTTTATCTTACTTCACTTCATTTCCCCAAATCTTCCAGTAAAAACTCAAGCCCCCATGAAGACGGACCACAGTTATCCTATGTCTGTGTCTTCCTTTGCCCTTTGACCCTCATCACTGCCCCCGGTTTGAGAAATATGGATTTATTGAATGTGTGGGGCTCACAAGGTACTTCAGAGAAACATCCTAAAATGTTTTTTAAGAGCTACATGGAAGACTGTGATGAGGTTTATCTCTGTGTTTTTGGAAGAGAAGATAAAAAATAAACACCTCTCTATCCATGTATTTTTAACATGGAATGGATACTATTCTATTACAGTTGCAGAACGAATGTCTCTAATTTCATTCCTATGAATTCCTTGAGCCAAAGCTCAATCCAAGACAATTACAATAACCTGCTCAATATTTCTTATTAATATCATAATAGGCAACTTAGTCACAATGTAATTGAACTCATTCTAACTAGATATCTCCTTGATTTCCCCGGTCCTGTTACTGGTACTAGCAGAAACCAAGGCTCAGAACTGGAAAGTCATCTTTTTTTGCTTCCTAGTCCGTTCACACTACATTCTGTTAAGCCCAGATTCCATAGATTCTGCCTCCGCAGTGTTCCTTCATCATTTTCTTTTCCTACCACCTTCAGGAAGTGGGCCTTCATCACTTAAGCCTATCCACTCCTAGTTGATATTTCAACTTCCTCTTTCACCCTACTACAATCTACCCTCCCTATTACTGACATATTTATCTTTCTAAAGCCCAGATCATAGCAAATTATTCCTTACTGAAAAACAAACAAACAAACAAACAGAACCAAACAAAAAACTAAGCAAAACAAAATACAATAGAAAAGACTTAGCAACTTTTAGTAGCAAATTAGGTAAAAACTTCTCTTCCTTGACTGAAAAACATAATTTCTAAATTACCACCTATGTCTATTCTCCCTTTACATAGACCCGTTTAAGTGAATTTTGACTTGCTTCTTGTTTCTTGACCATGCCACACATTAGCCAACATCTATGCCTTTTCCTCCTCCTAAAATTTCTATCTGCCATGTCTGTCTTCTTGAGTTACTCCAAAATGGGTACCTTTGAAGTCCCATGCTGTCTTTGAAGAGCCACCTCCACTAATGTCTAGCCTCTGCTAGACTAGCCTCTGCTTTAACTCAGGAATAGTGTTCAATAACTTTTTGTTGAAGCAAACTGGATTGAAAACCAATTCAATTTTTTGTCATTTGTTCAACAAAAATTTATTAAATGCTTACTATGTACCAGGCTCTCTGCTTGGAGCCGGGAATACAAATTCACTAAGGCATTTCATCACAGAACATAGGAATACTACTACAGTATTTTCTGTATAATTTCTAGAAAGCAAGAATCAGGGTTTCACCATTTTATAGCTATTCAATCCTTTGATTTATTCCAGGAATGCAATTTTTCCTGGAAATTGGCTACATGAAGGGATTTTCTCTGGGCATAACGTTAACTAGCCACAAGAGTTTTAGGGATATATGGGTTGACAGGATATTATTATTGTGTATAGATAGACTCTAGGCAGTGTATTAGGCTTAAAGCCTGAAGGAAAAATGCTTTCAGGAGTCCAGGAGTCATTCTGTCAGTGGCAAAATGTCTAAGTTGGCCATTGTATGGTAAAGCTTGTGGAGGAAGGAGGGGTGTCAAGGAGCTTGAAATAAATTTAATTAAATCAGACTGAGGGCAATTTGGACTCTTCCTCAAGGACCATCCACAAAATACAAATAGACTGTTAGAATTTTTATCAACATTTAAATCTGGCAGTATTTTTTCTGAACACAATCCATGAGATACCTGCCACATACCATAATTACATGTGAGACTAAGAGGAGTAGCACTAAGCAGTTTGTAAAGAAAAAGTAATGTCTCAAAGATTTTTCCCCTGAACTTTGACATGTATAGTGATCATGCAATAACTGTAGAAATTAGAGAGCTGAAGAAAATGTCCAAGGTTCTTGCGTTGCAGCTTCTCTCCTTTATCAGCAAATATATATTTTTTAATATTGTGGTTTTATTTGTAGAATGCTAAGAACAGAAGGAAGTGTTAGCTTAAGGAATCTGCTACCAGTTGCCATAGAGAATAGACAAAAACAAACAAACAAAAAAAAAGAAAAAACACCAAAAAACCTCCAGTTTTTCTAGTGCTCCAAATGATACAGTATGGTTAGATTTCTTTTCAGTGCTTCCGATTACATAACTTTTGTTGGTTGAACTGAGGCTTAATTTTAGATCTAGTTTTTTACTATATTTTGCCACCGATGCCTAGTGGGTTTCCCACCTCCTTTTCCTTTGTACTCACATAACAATTTATTGCTTTCAGGACAAAAAAATAAAATATACATTGTGGTTCTCTATTTTTGGATACCTGAAGAATTAATGGGAAAAAAAAAAAAGTACTCTTAAAATGCCTGCTCCTTAAAAGGCACTGAAGAATTTAAACGTGAAGATGGCTGAATATTTTTTATTTGAATTTATAATCTTGATATTTTTATGCTAAAAACTTAGAATTCTGTGAAATATATATCCCATGCTAGGGAGTTGCAACAGTATTAAAATTTGCTGCTCAGTCATCGAGGTTAGATTCTTTATCATTTTTTTTGTACCTTGTAGCCTGAAATATTATTTAAAAAAATCCCATTCTCCTTGGATGCTATTCAGGGTAAAAAGTATTAAAATTTGCTGCTCAGTCATCGAGGTTAGATTCTTTATCATTTTTTTTGTATCTTGTAGCCTGAAATATTATTTAAAAAAATCCCATTCTCCTTGGATGCTATTCAGGGTAAAACCATTGTTGGTCATTACAATACATAAAAACAAACAAATAAGTCTCATTTTGGATACATGATGTACATTGTAGAACTATAGCATTCATCTACATAAATGAAATGACTGAATTAAGAGTTTACGTGTTCCAGGAGGCTTCTGTAATTTTAAGAATATGAGTTAAGAGTATTGAGTTCTATGTATGCATCACAAGGGTACAAATATGCTGGAGAAATTTATAATGTGTTATATCCAATTATATCAGCAGGCTATGAATCATATACAATTATCAAGCATAAGTGCATTTTATGTGACACTTAAACATCATTAATTTTGTGCTTAGCATATGCTGCTCAAATGATATGATTTCAGTAATTTCCAGCATCAATATTACAGCATCAATATCAATTCAATGTAAATTGGAAAATGAAAATCTTCATCTTGTTTGTATCTGTGAAAGGCATTTACTGAACACAAGAGCACATTAAATCAACACTTGCCATTGGAAAAAATAACCTGAATATATCACAGAAAACCTAAATACTAGGAATCAGAATACAAAGCAAATAGTCCCAGAGAAAGCTGAGCTAAGCAGCCTAAGCATGCTCACAGGTATCACTAAAGTAAAACCAAGAAAATTGTTTTAAATATAAAAATCAGGGAAACCAACATTACCATCTTTCAACAAACTGACTTGACAAAGTTCAATTCCCACCATAAATTGCCCACTTACCTTAGCATTTACAAAATAGATCCTTTAATTCTCCAGAAAAATCTCAGTTTAGCATGTCCTTAAAGCAATTAGAACTTTAAAAGTTTGATCTACAACTAGCTATACAGTATGAATTTTAATAAAAAGTGTTTGTCTTATTTAATTAAACTAGTATTACCCCTACATAGCTGCATAGAGTAAAACATTTAAATAATTATTGATCAATTTTGAATTCAAGTAATTACAATTATAAATAATTCACAGAAACTTACCTCAAAGTCAAGGTCTGAATATCGGGATTTTCTTCTCTGTTAAATATTTTTTTAAAAGGAGGGAGAAAATCAATAAAGTTATGTTTAGTCATTCAAACAAAAATGAAAATCATTATTTTCATTAACTATAATCTTGCTTCTTTGTGTTATACATATTTCCTTCACATAAGAATATGTAAAAATATAATTTCAAAATATTTCATCCACATTATTCCATTTTCACTTTGAAGAATGTAATTAAAAATATAGAATATTTCCCTTCTTGATCTCTTAACTCTAATTTTCACAGGAGAGATTGTTTCTATGAAAATTCACACAAACCTTCTAATCTTGAAACATTCTAATCTTGAAAACCAATTTTAGGTCTATGATAAAAAACCTACTTTACAGACAGAAGATTAAAAGTTGTAGAGGAAAAATAATCCGTCTACCTCAAGACCTCCCCCCAACCAGACTCTAGTCTTTATTTCTACCAAATTCTACCTGGCTCTCTGTTTAAGTCCCAAAGCTCTATGTAATTCTCTCCCATGAATTTCTTGGAATTTGATAGTCTTCCATGGCAGGTCCTTCTAATTGCTAGCCTTTAGGAACTAAAACCTTTATCCTAATTCAGTAAAACAACAAATATTCCACACCCCAGCAAAATGCAGATATAAATGTAAATGTCTCACAGTGTTCCTCTGTGGCTGACTCTGTTAAACAGTTCCTGAAATCTAGTTATAGATAAGCATGTATTAATAAAATAGAGGTAGTAGGCCTGATAAAATCAAGAAACATGATTAAAATGTAATTAATGCAATCTCATGTTATAAAATTTTCATAATATTAGTGTAAGAAAGATTTAACATCTGCTCCAAGAAATCATTGAGTTCCTTGGACTGGTTGCGGTACTGAGGGAGATGTCTGGTAAGTGTGGAATGTGCCCCCCACATTTTTGGAGAACAAAACAAATTTCTAATTTAAAAAAATTGTCTTTCTTTTTTTGGATGCAGTGGGAATGAAACAGGGAGAATTAATAAATATTAAAACAAGTAATATTCAGTCAGTTGGAAAAATACGTAACCCTTTGAGTACGTATTCTTCTGTTTTATTTTTCCCGTGCTTCCATCCCAATACCTACAATCTTAACCTCAATAACTTAACAGGGATCATACCCAAGATTGTGGGAGACTGTTCTCTACTGTAACTGTTGAACATGAGGAGTGACAGAAAAGCATTCATGTAATTTTCTGAAAACTATGACTAAATTCCTATAGCTAGAGTTAAAAATTATCATAACAAAACCAGAACCTCCCTGTGAAACCTACTCCCTGAAGAATGTTTCAGTAGACTGAAGGTAATATATACCAAAGAAAGTTTTTGTTTGAAAAAAAGTGAAAAAGTTCTGAAATTATTTTGGCAAAGCTGCTTAAGGTTGAGAATCCATCTCTAAGTACAATCAAGGAGAGAGCTGAAAGGAGATTGCTTTATGACATGAAAACTCAACAGCTGATCTCACTTTGCTCCTTGTCTCTAACCTCACTCTAGCCTTCCCCATGACACCTGGGAAGCAGAAGAGCACTGAACCCAGCCCTCCTTTGCTGTTCCCCCTGCTGCTATTGTTATCTAACCGTGCTGTATGAAAACCAGGCGCCACACTCTGCTGCACTCTGCTAGCCTCACTCTAGCCTTCCCCATGACACCTGGGAAGCAGAAGAGCACTGAACCCAGCCCTCCTTTGCTGTTCCCCCTGCCGCTATTGTTATCTAACCGTGCTGTATGAAAACCAGGCGCCACACTCTGCTGCACTCTGCTAGACTAAACATCACTGTTTCAATTTTGCTGTTGGATGCTTTGCCTTCTTGGCACTGTGATTCAGCAGGACATTTTTGTAAGTATATGTTAAGCAAAATTCTTCCTTAATACAGCAAAATTCAAGCATGGAAATGCTTAGTTTTAAGCAATTATTATAAAACATTAATCATGACCTTTGGATTCCATTTGAAAAAAATAGTGAAATTTTATGAAAAAGGTTCAACTAGCTGGAAGAAGAGGCCCTTCCACTGCATGCATTGAGGGGTTCTCTGTTGCCAAAGGTGATAGCAGCCATATGTTGCCCTGTTTGTTTCTGAATGCAAGGTTGTGTATCCTAAGAGTGAAAATTCTGATGGATACATGCCACTAAAGACTCAGTATTTTAGGAGCAAGAGCAAAAATAGCATACAGCAGAACCAGCAGTCTTGAAGGATTAGACTAGGGAATGAACAAATAAAGAAAACAGATTTTAATGGAAAGAGTCCTAAAGATGGTGATGGTGGTGGGGGTAAGTGGAAATAAAGCAGTGAACACTCAAAAACTAGGGAGTGGAAAAAAATAATGTGACAGATTTTTAGAGTCCAAGGGAGTTAAAAATTTGTGTATTCTATTCATTTTCCCTCAATTCCAAGTGTTTTAACCTTTTATCATTTATAAAGTGTTTTCATATCCTGAACATGCTAGTCTCCCTGTAGGATGTTTAAAAATTTTAATAATAATTATAAGTAATAATAATGTAATAATATGATGTGATATATAATATATAATAATATAATAATATAAATAATAATAATAAAATAAAAATATTAATTATCCCCATTTTAAGAATGAGGAAAACTGAGGACCAGTGGAGTTAAAATAACTGGCCCACTTCACTGGGTAATAAGCAAATGAGCTGGGATTTAAACTCCAGTCTTCTGACTCTAAATCCACCATTTCATCCACTCTCTTGCTGTCTGCTCAGTGACACAAGGGAAATATTTCACAGCCACAATGCCTGTGATATTTTGCTGATTGATATTAGGACTCAGCAAGAATAACATTAGATGACTCAGGCAGTCCAAGGCTGATAACAGTGGGACTGATGTGCTTTCTAAGTGTAAACCAAGGCCAAGCAGATTAACTTTTACTTGTCAATTGTATTTTGAAAGAGAAAAAATATCGATATAATGTTTATTTGCAAAAAAAAAA